GCAGGACCAGACTTTCATGATGGTTCACACTGTTTCAGATGAAGAAGTCTTTTGCAAAAGCAATACTTTATGGTCAGGTTTTAAACAAGAAATGTAAAAACTAAAAGCCCATAAAACGCTAAAGAAAATTCAGCAAGCCTCAAGAACTATTGATCACCTAGCCATAAAATAAAAACACATTTTTTGGACCCTATATATTTATATATGCACACAGTATGTTGCATATTTTTGGTTTTCTTAAGGGACCATGTCAGTGTTACTGTATGAAGCTGTTCCATCTACTTCTTTAAAATTGAAACAGTGAAGTACGAGCTCGAGACCACAACGGTTGCTCTGCACTCCACTATGCCGCTAACCTCAGCAGCCATCTGATGGAAGAGATCATTCCAGTTCTGATCGAGGCTCTGAGTCACACAGGTATGCACAAACACAGACTGATCCTAAAAGCTACTTTTAAATGCTTATAAACCACTTAGATTATAGTTTGCACTGAATTACAGCATGTCTAACAGAATTAGATCAAAAATAGAACAGAAAGGAAGAAAATGTACTGGTTATTTTTTTCTAATGCTATAGACTCAAAACTGATTTAGAGTTGATCTACTTAGTTTTGTTTCTCTCCTAGATGAAGCTAATAAAGGAGCTGCTACTGCAGTTAACTCTTTACTTTTCATCTAGCAAAACATTTACCTTGTGACACAAATTACCAGATTATTTAACTTGAATGAATATTGAGAGGTCAGGGCTGACTCACATTCTGTTATTTATCAACTTCAACAGATTGGTTGGCAAATAGTAGTAAAGAATTATTTTTTCCTTTTTTTATTCCTTTAATTCTTGCAGAAGTTGACCCCAAGTCCTCTTCAACATTTGAGAAATATAGTTTCCAAGATGCTCACCATGCATATTCAGACCCAGAGCAGATGGATCATCAAACTAGAAGCTCTCAACACAGTGACCACTCTCAAAGCCATATCAAGGTAAGAAAAACAAACAGAGCTGTTTAAATACAACAAGGAAAAAAACATATCTTGTCTATACATTTGGCATTTTCACTGGAAATACCCTGAAATTCAAATCTAAAGAAAATCCTGAGTAAAAAGAAACTTGACTGCTGGAAAAAGCTAATTTTCCACAACTGTTTGGGTGTGGCTGCAGGTCTCAGGTATCCCTAATGAATAAACACAGGAGAAGAAAGAGAATGAGCAAAAATACAGAACATGAGCATGTCCGGTAAAAGGCTGTGGGGGATCAGTGTAGCCTCATATAGAAAGAGATGAGCCAGCAGATGGTCAGTAGAAAGACAGAGCAGCTGGTTAATGGGGACATTTTACCATTTATGTACATCCTAGAGCAAACAGGTTCAGTTTTGATGCAAAAAAATGAAATGACAAAGCTGAAAAAGGATAGCAAATGATCATATCTGTATTCCCTAGGGCTGAAGCAATGAATCGGATTACTTCTGATTAATGGATTATTGAAAAAAATCGTAACTAATTTAGTAATCGATAAATTCTAACTGAAGAATCTAAAATGTTTTAGATGACAAAACATTTAGCATTTAAAAACGTATTCATCTGTCAATATGCTCTTTCCAAAACTCCTGAAATGGAAAAGTTTTAGTTTCACCCGGTTTCATTTAATAAAAATTCTTCTTTAGGGAACCTTTTGTTATCTGATTATTAATCGACTAATCGATAAAATAATCAACAGATTAATCAGTTTGCAAACCAACCGTTAGTTACAGCCCTAGTACTCACTAAAACAAAAAATTTGAAATAAAACCAGGGTGCAGACTAGGGTTGTCACGATACTAAACTTTTCAACTCGATACCGATACTAAGGAAAATATTCGATACTCGATACCATTTTCGATACCACAAGAATAAAAACAAAGACTAAAATTCAACAGAAATATTTTCATTACTAAAAAAATACAAGAAAGAAATAAAAAAACCAATAAGAATAATATTTTGAGGTTGTACGCTGTGCACAATATTAAGCAAGCTTGATAAAAAAACTTACAAAATTAAAATTAAGTGTTCCTTCCTTGGCTATGCTTTGCACACATAATAATGACGCTAGCCAAACCAGTTAAATAAAAATAATTCTCAGCAGCTGCACCCGTTACAAAAAAAGTCTGAAATTGAAAAATGCACAGAATTATTCAATCACACAGTGTTCAGAAAGTGCATTTTCCACTATTCTGCACTTTAGATGGCTGTATCGATACTTTTGAAAATGAGTATTGTATCCGGATACAATGTTTCAGTATCTATACTTTTTTGAGTATCGATACTTTTGACAACCCTAGTGCAGACTGAAAAAAGTAATTGCTCTTGATAACGTACTATTGTTAACAACTTAAAAGCTTGAATTTCTGGACATTATGTTAGGTTAAAAAATAAATTAAATCTTATTTGGATTGTATGCGATGGACCAGCATTAACATTGAACTGTGAAACATGGTGGTGGCAGTATCAGCAGGGACAGTCAAATAGGTGATCAGAAGAGGAGGAAAATACAGAAATAAATATATCAATGCCTGTTTTTTACTGGGCTCTGTGGGGCATTTATTCACTAACTGTTTTTTGTTTTCGTATTTTAGTCATTCATTCATTCATTAGTCAATTTATTATCTTTCTTTGCTTTTATTCTGCTTTTATTTTTCTTCTATTTCATTTTCAAATTCATATAAAACACTATGAATTCTGCGTGTACTGAATTTTGCTATGCAAATAAACTTGCCTTGCCTTAATGTACAATGATGATTGTTTATTTTTACCTACAAAGTAGTACAGGTATGTGATTTTATTATTTATATTTTCAAAAATTTCTTCTAAAAATCATGTTAAAGTTTTCAGTGTAAGAATTTCATTTGGTGCCTGTATTGTGTTTTAGCAATATCCAAGAGATGCAAGATTTCTTTTTAACATATCATTAAGAATGAGATTAAATTTACTGGAAAATTAATTTATAAAATAACGAGATCTTTGATTTTTTTTTTTTTTTAGACATTTCTACAGACACCAGGAAGTTCTCCTCAGTTTAATAAAAAAGATTTCAGCCAAGGTAAGGATTTGTTTAAAGAAAACTAAACAAAAAAACATTAACATGTTGTAAAATCAGTTAATGTTCTTGATCCTAGAAAATAAAAGGGTTGTTATGATTTCAGAACAAAACATAACTCAAGAAAAAAAAAGGATTAAATGCTTTAAAAGGTAAACGTCTAACACAACCTGACTGAAGATCTAAAAATGTTTTAGAGTGAAAAGTGGGAATCATTGTTAGCAATTTAAGGTTAAATTGAAAAATACTCATAAATGTTGGTAACTCTGGTACAAAGACATGAATTCAATCTTTTATTGTGGTACTGTTGTCCTGTTTTTCTTCAAAAGACATTAGAAACCTTTGTACCCATAATCTGATGGCCACTGACAAAAGCTGAAAATAATTAGTCATTAAATTTTCAGCAGAAAAATTATTTAGAACATAGACCTCAATAAACACAGGTTGTTTACCAGACAAAACGGATAAAAACAAGTATTTTTGCAGCAGCACCGTTAAATTAAGCCTGCTTTAGGAAATAGGCTTAGAAACAAGCAGGTACAGTGCTCTGGGAGAGGAACAAAATGATCAGCATCCCAAATGGGCCTCGAGATCAGATCACCTGCACAAAGGGGAGGGGATCCTAGGGAGACCAAGGAGAGGGAGGCTGTCCAGGATGGGAGGGGTCTTCCCCACAATACAAAGCTCTCCTCTGAGAAACCTTCCTGAACATCTTTCACCTCTGCATCCTCCGCAGTGAGGCTGATAACGGCTTAAGCAAACGATAATGTAAAAGGAATAAAACCGCGTTACTGTTAGGGTTTCACAGAGAAATGGGGAAAATTATAAATCTGGACATCAAAGCTGACGGATCCACGGAGCTTGAAACAGGTAAATGAAGCTGTTCTCTTAAAGAAAGTATTAATATGTGTTAAACTGTTTTTAAAATATGAATATTTAATTAAAAATAAATTCAAGTTTACATTTGATGCTCTTTCTAATACTAAAAACATGGTTTAACCTAAAATACTCAAGATATTTTTTCACAATACTGGGGTTTGGAACCACATTTCTCCTTTTTATTGCTAATTCAGTCATTGTTTCCTTACCTCTGTGCATCAGTGTTGTACCTTAAATGTGTTTATTAGTTTATGTACTTAATTCTACTGGAGGAAATGAGTGACCAGACCTTAAGTAGGGCTGATGAGTGAGTGCTTGTGTGTCCGCAGCTCACAAGGGGATTCCCACCTGTTCTCAAAACACCATGGAAACTCTGAAACACATCGGGCGAGCCAATCAGGATGTGAGGAGGGGAAACAGGTGGGCATGAAAATTTCTTTTTTCACATGTCTATCAGAATAAAAGGAGTTTTAGCACTAGAACATTGTATGTGTACAGCAAACACACCCTCCTTATTTCCAAGGTTTGTTAGCATATATATCTCTTGCTTTGACACCAGCACTATAAAGGAGGCCTATCCTGTTACATTTGCAGACCTGTGCGCGGGCACCTGTCGCTGTGTCCAGAGGACAATCTGTTCTACCCAAACAGGTTGGGTACACACAGACAGGGCTGGAGAACTTTGGTGAATCAGCTCATTGTCTGTTATGAGCAGCACTCACATCTGAATCAGGTCCAAGTTCTGAGAAGAGAATAAAGCTCTTTGAGCTGCTCTGATTTCATAGAATCAGCTGCCTTCCAGGAATAGGGTGAGATTCTACAAGTTTGGCTCCATTCAAGGATAGAAACGCATCTATAATTATCATTTCACTCTTCAATATATATTGTTTGTGAATATTGTTTTCTGACATGTAATTAGAGCAAAGGGCTGTTTCAGTCAGAATATGGAGCAGAAACAGAAAAGAAGAGAAGAAGACTGATAATGAGCTCAGAAAAACAAGGAGTAATCAGTTTTGGAGGATGATTACTGAATGAAGAGAGATGAACTGATTACAGCAGAATAACAGTGTGGAACGGATATATAACATTACGTATGAAATTCAATCTGTAAATCATTGAATCCAAAGTTGATCTTTTTTAGTTATAAGTCAGAAAACCACAGGCTACTGCTATTTGTAGTGTTTAAAATGGTGCTTAAAATGGCTAAAATCACACACAGGTGCACACAGTTAGAGGATTGTTACTCAGCTTTTAAAGGAGGTTTCTGCTTTTCAAAATCTTGAAGTGATATCAAACAACATCTTTAGGTTGAAATTATTGTCTGACATGCTAAGAAACATTTGAATGACCAATAATTCTTTTAACAGGGTTTAAAGAGTAGATCTACCATAAGTAGAATACTGTCAGAGAAGAAATAAGTAAATTAAATTAAATAAAAAATTATTAGAACTGACCATATTATCACGTTTATCCTGAAACCAGACCCTGATGCTAAAAGAAATGCATGGTGGCAGAAGTGCCATGGTTAAGGGATGCTTTGTTGCAGCAGGATCTATGTAGTTCCCCATCACATAATCCATTGTGAAATGCACTGTGTAAAAGATAGGGATTAAGAAATATATAATCAGGTTACCTAAAGTTTTTTTTTTAATTAAACAGAAATAGACCTGCCAAAACGAAAGGGACCAATGCACAACAGATCTTCATTTGATTTATATTCTGTGAAGGAGTTTGAGATGAGCTGCAAATGCTGCCTCACTTTCTTTATACAAATGTCACAGAATGGATGCTAAATGCATCTCTCTGAAATTATTATACATAAATGGGGTAAGACTAGCTTCTTTGTAAAAGGGTGTTGTACCTGTCACAGAAAAATATTGTGTTAAAACCACAGTTTCTGAATAAATATTATTTTCTTGTTGAGTATAATACAATTAAATACCTTTGTTTCCAAAAACAAAACAAAAGATAAGGCATTTACATATGAGCTTAATATTTCCTAATCTTATGGGTCCAAATCCAAGTCATCGTCTGTCATAATCTTGGCACTAATGACTGGATTATTAGTTCCTTTCTTCCACCTGCTTAGCTCAGTTTTTCATTTGCTCTTATCTGATCCACCTGTTGCAGCTCCTTTATAAGCTGCCTTTTTTCCAGCCATCAGTGCCAGATTATTCGAGCCGTGTATAAGAAGTATCTAGCGTACCCTGTTGCGTTTTGATTACCTGATCCGGACCTGTTTCTGTCTCTGGACTCCTGAGTTTGGGTTGCCCCTTGTCCGGTCTATTTCTGCCTGTTCCTATTTTCAGACTGCTGTTTGGATTCTGTCCGTTAAAGACCTTGGATCAGTCCCCTTGACAAAATCAACCTATTTACAGACATATTCTAGCAGTGTTTAAGCCATTGCTTTCATTAAAACAGTTGTTCGTTGCTGGGTCAGAATTCTGTGTTCCAGATGGGTTCTGTTAGTTCTGCTAATTTATGCTGGACTGTGTTCAAATCCCCTCTAGGAATCACATCTAGCTATGTAGCTTCAAGTTGGTGGGATTTGCTAATTGTCGTGTTGAGGGTCTGTTTTATTATCAACACAAGCAGATTGCAATGGTTTCAGCTCTACTATAGGAACAAAAATAATCATAGTTTATTCTTGCATCCTTTACAATGTTTAAATGTGTAACAATATCATATTGTTATTATCACTATGTTTTGTAGCTACAGATGTACCACAAGCATGGTAGCTCTGATCCTGTATGAAACCCACTTTACTGTCTTTCCTGACTCCTTTCTCTCATTGTATTTCCAGAGGTTTGTGCCTACCCAGCCTGTCCAACACCAACAGACAGTGTGATCATACAGAAACCTTTCTGTCATCTGGCTTTCTGAGTAGCAGGACCCCATGTCAGCCTGTACCACCGAGACAAAGGTCCATATACGCATAAATGTTGACAATTTAAAGCAGGAAGTAATGTGTCACATCAACACTCTTACATAACTAAAATATTACAAATATATATATACACCTAATCCAACAACAGTTACTAGTCAAACTTACTAAGCATATATAGCTGTATTGTTCTACTGCAGAATGTTCTCATGCAGGATTGATAAATGGAAGTTAGATTGTAACTGAAATTCAAAGAAGCATCTGTAACAAACTTTGAAATGAAGTGTCTCTATGTTCCTGACAGGCAGAGAACAAGAAGTGTGGTTGAAGCCTCCCCACCTTCCCACAGCCTGCTTCATGTGTCAGAGTCAAGCCAGCTAAGCCAATCAGCCCCCAGCATCATGGAACCACTTCTGTGCCCCACCATGATGCAAGCCAGAGTTCACATTCAGACCCGTATGTATGAACAGAGCTTATGAATATAGAGCTCAGATAATAGGTTGTTATTAAAACTAATTTCCTTATGGTTACAGGACTGAGCTCTCAAAATACTTTAAATGATCAAAAGGTGAGTTTCAATACTGTTTAAATTACTCCAAAAAATTTTTCTTTTTTTAAATTTAACAAATTGGTGTCATGGTAGGAGCAAAGTGTATTATTGTTTATACACTAACCACCAGCCTTAACAGAAAGACCTTGCTAGTGTCTGCTTGGACCAAGTTTGCATCATAACTCAATTAATTCTTTATATAGATTTAACTAAAAGTTCAAACATTTATGACTGACTTTGGTTCATAATAACATGAAAGCATACTGCAGTGGCTACTGAACTGTCAGCTGTAAATCAATGATTTAAAACTATTGCACCATATCCTCATAGTACTCCTGTTTTCTAGGCCACCAGTTGATTTCTGTGCACATAGCTGCACTTACTGGATACTTTCTTTTCTATGGAACATTTTCTGCACACTGTAAAGCTGTTTGTGCATGCAAATCCCAGTACTCAGCCATTTGTAACAGGCACGGAGGAGTCACTCTGGTACCAACCAGTAGTTTAAAATTTACAGTCAATTAAACCCCTTTTTTCACAATACGGATGCTCAGCTGAAAAATTTGTAAGTTGTCTAGATGTTGAAATGCATTGATTTGCTTTTATATCATTGTCTTTATTGCTATGTATGTTAGCTTACCATTAAACAGGTAGATTTAATAAGATAGTTGGTGGATGTATTGATGTGTTTCTATTTTTTTAATGGTTTTTTTTGCTGTTCTTTTGCTCCTTTTTCTTCACTGAATTCTCTATTCTATCAATGATTCGATTGTTTCTAAAACTTGTAAATGAAAAGGCAATATCAAGTAATGATGTATTCAAGATTTATGCAGCTTGTTCACACCACTGAACTATTGTCTGTATTCCTAGGGTTCTGTGCCAGCTTTATACTCTCGCACACCCAAGCTTTTGGTGCCGCTAGACGGCCGCCCAAGAGATCCCAACGCTCTGCCATCACTGAAACCTCATGTTCCCCTGAAGCCCATCAACCGGAGCCCACTTCGCACCAAAAGAAAGCTTAGAAAAGGGGGGCTGTCCTTGTGCAGTGTGTGGAATGGTCTTTCTAACGCTGGCAGTGAGGAAAGTGGATCCAGCAGTAGCAGCAGCCAGAGTTCAATCAACTTGGAAAATGAGGATAATGATGGACAAATCCAAGAAGAAACAGCTAACAGGGAAGAAAATCTGAAGTTTGTTAAAGACGAAGAGTTGCAGCAATCAGACGGTAGAAATCTATCAGAGGCAGAATTGTCTGGGAATACAATGTTCCATCCTAACATTAAAGGAAGAATATGTTCAATGGTTAACAGATCACAACATGATGGAGAAAGAGATTACCTCCATAGTACTAAACATGTAAGAATAGAAAACGCTGAGAGTGAAGCAAACACAACAAACCATCCAAAGGAGGCACTTAATTCTAAGAAAGAAGAAACTTTAAGTCTGGGAGAATTTGAGTGTAATAAACAATCTGAAGGATCTTTTCTTACTGAAGACAAAAGGGATATGAGCTGCATGGCTGAATACAAGACAGCGGTAAGCAAAGAAATTACATACAATGAAAGAGATCTTCAACATGACCCACGTGGCTGTTCTGAAGAAAATAATGGAAATGAACAGATAAAATCAGATCACAACGAGCCAATGAGAAATGATTTATTTGATCAGGAAGCAAAGGCAGCAAAAAGAAGAGCTTGCAGTGCAGCAACTGCTGTGGAGAAAACCGGCTTCTTTCCTGTGGATCCAAAGGAATATGAGATGATGTTCAAAGCCCGGAATAAGGAGAGTAAAACGAGGATGAACTGTCACCTAAAGGCAAATAATTCTAATATTCATTCCCCCTACAAAGATCCAAGTATGTCTGGTGGAAACCCCTCCATAGTGACCCAAAAATACTCTCCACTCTCCACAGAAGTTAAAGTCAAAAGCAAGAAAATCCCTGACATTAGCAGAGAACCCCCCTTGGCCAAAGCTAAGTTAAATTTTAAAGTGGATAATGCTGCTTGTCTTAATTCTGGTACACAAACCCTTCATAATGTTGGTGATTTTCCACACAACTACAAAACACATCAGCAGACATCAGTTAGAGAACTAAAAAAGACACAGCAGTTCAAGAAACCATGCTTGGGTGGAGAAAACACAAGATCTAAATCTGCTGTGGACCTCATTACTTACAGAGACATGTTTCAGCAAATACAGAGCGGCGAGGAAGGACCAGCCATGTATGAGATGTTTGCTGGGCCATTTTTTGAAAATCTTCGAGTCTCCAGCTCTTGTGAAAAACTTAAAGAGAGACAACTACAGTCCATGCCAAGTAGAAACACAAAACAAAGCCACAAAGCCAAACACAAACCGACACAGAAAAAGCCCAAGACAAACTCGGTGGAGAGCACAGCTGCTTTGATTAAGATCAGAGCAAAACCGAGATCTGCTCAAATGACACCTCGTTCCACCAATGACAGCTGCAGAGCACAAAGTAACCCTAAAGTTGAGAAAGCAACTCCTCAAGAGTTTTCTCATAAACCGTTCATGGGTGAATCTGAAAACCCCATTTTATCAACCATAGTAGAAACTCTTTCTAAAGATGGATCTGAAACATTGTCACCAGGCAACAAGAATCCTACTGGACCACCAACTCCCCTTTATGGTGTTGATTCCAGACTCATGGAAAACCACACAACTTCCTCAGTGACATCAATGGCAAACTTAGCTAAACAAGATCCAGAGTTGAATCGATCTCTGAGCCCTCAGCAGGCAAAGATGGACCCTTCAACATCTTCAGGCAGTAGCTGCCACACCCTCATGTCACCGGTTTATAAGAAATTTCTGGAAGAGGTTGGGGAGGGTCCACTGACTGATGACCTGCTGCAATGTCTGGCAGAGGAGCTGATCTCTTTGGATGAGAGGGATGTTCCTACGGCTCACGAAAACTCAGAACCGGGAAAATCCGTTTTCCATGTGGAAGAAGAGCTTTTATCGGGACAAAAGACATTCCCTGAGGTAACAATTTTAGCCTAAAATGATCAAATATTTTACTTAATTCACATCCTACACACATGGTCATTTTCACGTTAGGGGTGCCACCTTTTAACTGTGGTGCTCAATACTGTAAGTATACTAATCAGAGATGCATAATTTTTTTGTTGTGAGAAAAAAGTCATAAGAGAAACGAGGCATAAAAAATCTGCTTGTGTTTAAGTAAACTGTACATATTTCACTCAATTGATTGATTCTAACTTTAATAGAAAGTCTGCAAAGGTCTGGACTGTGAAACTAACCAGAGGACACCAAAGTATTTGTTTGGAAAGGATGCAAACTCAGCACAGAAAGGTTGAATTTTGTATATTGCACTATAAGGCCCAGTCTATAAAAAGCATCCAACGTGGCTATCTTCACACATCTCTCCATTAGTCTCAATTTTATATGTTTTTCCTAGAAGAAAGTTGATCCAAAGAAGATAGAGAGGGACCACAATAAACACAGACTGCATATCATGAGGGTGTCCTAATTTTTTTTTTTTAACATTTTTGCTTTCTAATTTATTTGATTAATTACAGGTTTAAAAATTATTAAAATTTATTTTAAATAACTAACATCTAATGAAATAAGTTTTGAACAGAAAGATAGACATGTATTGCACATTCTTAAAGGATTAAAGCTAAGTTAACCGCCTATATATGGGATTGCTGTTGTATTATTGTTTGTTTTAAATTATTTTCATCCAAAAATGATTTGAATGTTTTCATTGCAGGTTGCTTCAGCTGACAGTAACTCTTACCTCGGCTCAGAGCTGGTTGCCAACGACACCATAACATGGGCTAAGGGTGAAGTACTTGGGAAGGGAGCATATGGGACAGTGAGTATTACAAAAATATTCCTACTTAGTAAATATGTATGTTGATTATTAAATAGGGACTTTCTTGAAAGGTATTTACATTACAAACTCCTGTCAGTATTCCAGCTGGTCAGAAGCTAGCTTTACTGTTCAGTTCATCTTACTTCAGCAGCAGGTTTTGACTGAGATGGTTCTTTTCTCAGGTTTACTGTGGTCTGACCAGTCAGGGCCAGCTGATCGCCGTAAAGCAGGTTTGTCTGGATTTGTCTGACCCTAATGCTGCAAATAAGGAGTACAATCGTCTTCAGGGGGAGGTGGAGTTACTTAAAACCCTTCGACACAGCAATATTGTTGGCTTTCTGGGGACATCCCTTTACCAGCATGTGGTTTCCATCTTCATGGAGTACATCCCTGGCGGATCGATTGCTAGCGTACTTCACAGGTTAAAATGATCAAATACTTTGAGGTGAATTTATTCCAGAAGCTTAATTACCAAATCAATAAGATTTCATTTTATTCCCCCCTTAGATTTGGTCCTCTGCCAGAGAGAGTGTTGGCATTGTACACCCATCAGATCCTTGAAGGCGTGGCGTTCCTTCATCAGAACAGAGTGATTCATCGGGACTTAAAAGGAAACAATGTCATGCTGATGCCAACTGGTGTCATCAAGCTCATAGACTTTGGCTGTGCACGACGCCTCAGCTGCTTAAACCAGACAGCCCCAAGCAGCGGGGAGCTGCTGAAGTCCATCCATGGCACGCCTTATTGGATGGCACCAGAGGTGAGCGATTCTTTTTGCATATATACATTGTAATACGCGTTTGATTGAATTTGCTTACAAAATGTATGCAAGCTCACTGCCTTAAAAATGTCATTTTGCAAAAGTTGTAACGATTCCACAACTCAACTGACAGTAACTTTGAGTAGACTGGACTTAATAGTGATGGCGGCTCTTTTTTAGGGAACCAGCCTTTAGAGCTCATCTGCTGGCATGAGCTATTAGTTCAGATTTCAAGCTACTTCTCATATTTCCTTATTATGTTTTATTTAAAGCATGCATTCTTTATTTTTAACTTGGGAAAAAAATGTCACTGGGACTCTTTAAATAAAGCAAATGTTTCATTCCCAAAGGAGCAAGTAGATGTCAGTTTTTCGCCTGTAGAAGGGTGTGATTTTAGGTGATTTGAATTGTTCCCAGGAGCATCCTCACTCATACTTTAGTCTGGCCTTACCCAAGACCTAAGAAATTCAGCAAATGAGGTTACACCAATCTGCATGTCTCCACCTGTTTCAAATACTACTTTTTTGTTTGGACTTAACTTAAATATTTTAAGTGATCATGTTGGTTCTTCTGCAGCAGATCTCTTACTATTTCCATTGGAGCCTCTGGACACTTCACCATCATCTGCACCTTGTGAATGCATCTTTGCATAAATGTTAACTCACTTATGAGATAAATAGGAGACATTATTATCAAGTTAACCGGGAGCCACATTACCCTGCTCTTGTTGAACACAGAGAACAAGGAGGCTCTGCCTTTATTGCTCTTATAAACACGTAGCCTTCCGCTTTACAAAGTAGTGCCAAACAAAATACAACAGTGTCAAGCATTGTACTCAACAGATCTGATTTTTTTTTAATCTAGCAATTCACTGCCCTTATTAAAAAGGAGTATAAACAAGTTGATGAGAACTGTCTTCTCACTTAGTTTTTTTTAATAAAATTTTTTATTAAGATTGTTCCATATCACAGTATAATCTATAGAATTTAGTTTGTGCATTTCATCATGTAAATTCAACCTGAATGCAGATTGAAATTTAAAGATCTGCTAAGAAAGTCTGAGGTTTAAATTTTTGCACTTCCAAAGGTCATTTTGCACAAAATGAATATGTACCTATTTATGTTATTTGCAAGCATGTTGTCACCCTCCTATAATTCTGATTTTTTTTTTCTGTTTGTCAGGTTATCAATGAGTCAGGATATGGCAGGAAGTCAGATATTTGGAGTGTTGGTTGCACAGTGTTTGAAATGGCCACAGGTAAACCACCACTCGCACACATGGATAAAATGGCTGCCTTGTTCTACATCGGGGCCAGAAGAGGCTTAATGCCATCACTGCCAGACGGCTTCTCAGAGAATGCAAAGGACTTTGTTCAAATCTGCCTGACAAGGTATGTTGTCACTTTATATGGAGGATTTCCTTTCTGTATTTGGCAAACTGTCAAAATAAGGATCCTCCTATCATATTTTCTTTTTTAATCTAGAGACCAGAGCCTACGGCCATCAGCTGCCCAGCTGCTGAGGCATTCCTTCATTCCTAAAAGGCAGACTAATATAAAATACTGTGAGACACAAAAAAACAACTGTTCTCATGGTCATCGTGTTCCGCCTTATCAGGATCCGTGTCATGGGTGTGTTTTCAGCAGAGATGTCCCAAATCCTAACTCCAAGGAACCCTCCTCCAGCAGAACTCCATTGGATTCTAAGACAATCCAAGAGGCATAATGCCTGCTCTGGATCCCAGGGCTTCTCCCAGTGGGACGTGCTTTCAGCCCCTCATAAGGGAGGTGTCAAGAAGAAAACAATGACCAGCTGACCCCTCTTGATGTGGAGAAGAAGCAGCTCTACTCCAAGCCCCTCGCAGATGGAGATGCTTATCCCCTGATCTCCTCACATTTCCAGGCTGCCTTGCAGAGAAAACTGATTTGAGCTGCTTGTATCCAAAGTTGCTGTGGTCCAAATTTTTGTATTTAATGTAGAATAACTGGTGTTCTTAAATCTAGACATTATATTATTGTTCTAATTGTGGTTAAAAAAATGTAGCTTTGCATTTGAGGGGAAAGCTCCACAACTGCACTGACCTCAAACCAACAAAAAAAGGATATTTTGGTAACCGTGTTAATACTGTAAACAAAATTATTCAAACCCTTGTGGAAAACATTGTAAAATGTATAATGTACAATTTATAACAACCATAAGCTTTACTTTTGTTAACAAATATTAGGTGCCAACTTTATAAATATAAAAGGTATAGTTTACTCAATTCTGTAAGTTGTTTGCTCTGTTTGTGATATATGTTAAAGCAGATAACCAATCAATGCTGCAAAATGTTTCAACATAATAGATTAGACAGAATTTTCATATATAGACATTACAAATCATTGCTATTCAAGGGTCACATAAATTGTTTTGACATAAAGGTACATACCACATGGAATATTGTCTCAACTTAAGGTCTTTTTTGCCAAAATTAATAAGTAAACTACTATTAATCAATTATAAAAATGCAATAACCTTCAACGGATGAGTTTTATGTGAGTGTTAATTACAATGGCAGCTATTAACTGGTCTCTTATCCAAACAGTTCCCCTTCAATTTGGTCGTTTAGGACTAAAACCTGTAAAAGCAGCAGTCTTTCCCTCTAAAGGCATGGAGTATTAAATATCTCAATACTAAAGCATTTGGTTTCTATCTTTTTTTAGATAGAGATTAAACTATAGAAAATGAAATTAGATAATCTGCAAGCCTGTTAAACTGAATTGATACAGAATACCGCAATTTTATCAATAGTCCTTATATCGAATAAATGTACTGTGCATATTTTAAACTTGTCAAATCAATTAAGAGCAACTGGTACTAAACTTTTTATGGTCATTTTAATATAAACTTTACTTTTGATAAGCTTTTTATGTGGTCTCCTTAATGGTAAATTGATATGAGAGCAGTTGGCCCTAGTTACTGTATTGTTTTTTCTCAACGTACATTTCAGATCAATAAAAATAGAACAAATATAACCTGTTATTCTTACAGCAGAGGTCATTATAACTTGCCTCTCCATCTCAGTCAGGAAATCTTAAATATAATCTGGATGGATGCCTGATCAGTAAAACAATCTTATATTTTAAATAAAATAAGAAAATAAAACTGATAGGATTAAAAAGCCATTATTCACACTATGTCAGGAATAAGGCGCAAGTTTTTCACCAGATGTGTTCCACCACAAAAAATTAACACTAACAAAAATGGTGATGTTCTGCAGGTAGCTTAGCTGCCTCATGACCTGCATGAAATGCAACTGATAGAGCGATTAAATCTGCCTTTTATTAAACAATGAAGGAGAATGTCCTACAATCATCACTACCTAAAGCTCAAGGGAAGTTTGAGCATCTGGAAGATGTTCATCCACTCGATTATATTACACATTTATGTCTAGAATCGTAATACTTCTACAGGCAGTGATGAAAGATGCATTTCAAGCTCTTGGTCTGTTATTACGGGTTTCAAACCCAAAACTCACATTTTGGGTTTACTCAAGAGTTTGCATAATTTTCTTTATGCTAAATATTTAAAATAATTCTGCAATTCTTCATGTCACCTTGATAAATGAGGTAAAGGCATTTCTAATAGTTGCCACTTTTTCTGTTACGTTTATTCTAGAGCCGTGTCCTTAAGTGCAATACCTTTAATTTGTGAAAAAGTACTTGGCAATAAAGCCTTTTCTGATTTTAAACCATGTACCGTTCAAACTTTACTTCATGCAACAGGCATAAACTTAATAAGATGCTGCACAGTGTCATGGTGGTGGCAATGAAGTTTATTCATTACATTAAAATATAGATGAGTGGCCCTTTCTTTCCCAAAACATTTGGAATGGTCCATGGTAAATCCTTCCATTATATAAACCCCTTATCTTGGTTTCATTCGGTTTTTATGGTGTTCTACAATACATAGGGGATAAAAAAAACAGGTACAGGCTTCATAGAGAAATGTATTGTTTTATGGTAAAGCTAATTCCATGTGCATAAATGGGAGACAATATTTGCTCTGACCTTAGCTGCAGAAGAATGACACAAAAGAAGTTCAATATTTTAATGAATCTAATATGGAATATGACCTAAAGATGAGATTAAATGGGCTTGTAACTTTATGTAATACTTGATCCTATTGATGTAAACTGTAGTAGTTTATTATTCATATCCCTTTTAGTAAGGCAGAACCTTTGGCATCAAGCTGAAGGTCTGCTTGGAAGTCATGGTTTTTGGTACAAAAAAACAAAAGATTTCTGTAGATGCTGCAGTGGGAATCAGATGTTCATCACCGTCTAGAGGAAGCTTAAGATTCCTTGAATGATGCAAACAATCAGCCGACTATGCCCTAAAACCCACTGATCAGGGAAATAAACCTTTTATACTCATCTTGTTAAAATTACAAGCAGCTCCAAACCTGAGTAGTCATGGTATAGCTTTTTCTTTAAACATACAAAAGAAACATATTTACATTTTTTTCTTTTTTTGTAAACAGCAACTAAGCACTCTTCTCTCTTTTCCCTTTGATGATTGAAACATGCAAATCAAATGCAGTTTAAGCATATAAAGAAATCAGGACCAGAAAGTAGTTTTGGAGATGAGACTTTACACCTAAAAAAAACTGCATCCATTAAACAATTGAGTGGAATTCTAGCAAACATAAACTTAACTCATCTCCAGCTGGCCATCAATTTCTTCCATATAATCAGGCATTTACTTAAATTACTAAACAAAACAAAAAAAGATGAAAAAGAAAGTGCACCTTCCATGCTTTTATAAAAACTGTAATACTCATCTTTCCATATGGAGGACTTACAAAGTGGAGATGGGAGCATCACTCAACCTTTCCCCAACTCAGACTTCCCCTTTCATTCTTCGATGCATTTGAGAAAGTGATGACCGAGCAGCAATTGGACACTAACAAAGATGGGACTGAACAACGCAGCCCTGACGTGTGAGAAACAGACAAGTCCAACACTTATTAGCAGAAATGTTTTCTGCCTTAGTAAAGGGTTCATATTCACAAGCATTATTTCTTAGGGCACTTGACAAAGAGGTCAGCATATTCTTGAAAGTCTCAGTGGTCGGTAGTTTGATGCCATTTCCATGTGCAGGCCATGGCTGAAGGGCGGCGGACTCAGTGTCTCTGCTCTCCCACTTCGTGTGGCGATTCGCCAGGACGAAGGAACTGCTCAGAGGTCCGCAGCCCACCTGGGTATGACAGGAGGGGAGGAGACAAGAATAAGGAGGAAGAGGAGGAGGAGGAAGGAGGGAGGGGTTAGCCACAGAGCTGCGAGCCAGATGAGACACACTGCAGTACAGGAGAGGAGTGAAGAGGAGGAGGAGGAAAGGGGGATGAAAAAAGAGGAGTACCTGTAGCACTAGTGCCACTCTTGGAGATTTTGCTCACTTTGGAGCTCGAGGATGAGGGGTGGTGGTTGTGGCCGACCTCAGGATAGACCCTCTTTCGCGATGAAGATGACAAAGAGGCAGATGCGGGATGGCCGAGTGGCATTCCTTCCATAGCGACCAGCCCTGGAGGAACACGCATCAAGGCTGCACCCTCTAAACCCCCTCGCCCGTTGCCACTGTGCTTGTGGGAGCGATGGAGGTGGTGTTCTGTGCCGCGGTGCTTTTCTTTGCTCACCAGGGGGCTGGAATGTTTGCTCTTGCTGTTGTTGGCAGAAATGCCTTCATCTGACGAGCTGTGCCGCTCTGATGATGAGACTTTGATCTTCATCTTAAACTCGTCCTTGCTCTGATGTCCGCTTTTCTCTGGCTGAGAGCTGCCGCTGGACCCGGGGACGGGCAGGCGAACCTTAAGTGTGCCTTTGTCCCATTTGTCTCCATGATGGCGTCGGTCTTGTCCTGAAGCTGAGGCAGGAGGGATTTTCATTTTCGATTGGGAGGCTGTAGTGCTGCTGTTAGAGGCTTGGTGGGCCTGAGCATGTTTCCTATGCTCTATCTGGGAAATGTTGGCTGGTGCATAGCTAGAAGAGGCCTGATCTCCTTTTACATCACAGTCCATTACTCCTCCATGGTGTTCCTGTCTACGTTTCTGGACAGTGTACTCCACAGAATGTTTCTCTCTGTATTTATCTAGAGAAAGCTTCTGAACAGGAGGAGGCTGAGTGGAAATGGGGTAAGACTGAGGTGCTGGGTGTTGTTTGCCTGCTCCACTGCCACTACTTACTTTCTCCTGTTTAACAAGGTTTAAATCTATTTTTTCAGTCTTGTAAGGCAGTGGTTGCTGGAGCAGAGAGGAGGAAGAAGTCTGCAATGACAGCATGGATTCATGGATAGGGAGGCTGAGCGGTTCCTGTTTGACACAAGTGGAGGGGTACCCTGTATGGCTCTGGTTAACCTGAGGCCATTCACCATGGCTAGCTGGATTAAACGTTGCAGCCATGTTGTCCAGAGATAAGGGGATTCCTCTGGAATGTCCGGTCATGGGTACAGAAAACGCAGCACATGCTTTGGAAAAACTTGGGTTGGAAGAGGAAACTCCATGAAGCGCTGCGTCACTGTGGTCATGAAGCAACGATGGTCCAGCATATGTGGTATCTCCTGACGCCGTGTTTTCAGTTTTAGGCTTTTTGGCAGCTTGTGTTGCCTAAAAGAAAATCATTTGCACAGCTGTAAAGGTACTGCTTTCAGATAGACGGCTAACATCACATTACTATTAGCAAATCTAGTTTTTGCACATTGTGTTTATTTCATGATGATTTAATCATTTAGTCCAAAGCAAAGTGAAGCAAAACCAAAAGGAAGAAAATTTTGAAAATAAACTTTTCAAAATTATTACAATATAAAGAAAAAAAATAATAGCTTGAATTTCTATACCGATGTGCTTTGTGTTAATTTATTCCAATTATAAATATCAATGATATAAACTGCAGTTGTTATCTCAAAACTCTAGTACTAAAATGAGCTTACCCTCCAGTTTCGGATTCTCTTTAGCCTGCTTGGAGTTTTCTCCAGAATCTGCAGAAACTCATGGGTCAGCTCTGCAAGTAAATAAACACCATAAAACATTCGACCTAAATTTGCCTAATTAAAGACAATGAATCTTAGATGTAGGTAAAATAATGACTTCACCATCAAGCAGCTCCAGAGTCACCGTGTTGTCAACATACTGCCACCAATGTTTCCCGTCAGTGGAAACCGGGATCTCCCAGTTGGACCACTTGCAGGCCAGATGTATGCACACACAGGCGATCACTGTGGGCTTGTACTGGAGGCAGAAGGTGGTGAGGTGCAAACTGAAGAATGGTCGAAGGAGGTCAGAATCCATCCGACATGTGGAGAAAAAAAGAAGCACACCAAAAGGAGCAGACAAATTTAATATACTGCAGGTTCGGAGGTCATGTTTGCAAAAAGTTACTGACAAATCTGTGATTTGATGTGATAAATTTGTTTTAAAATGTAACTACAAGAACTTCTAACCAAGTACAACATTCAAAAAACAACAATGTACTTGTTTAGGCTTCTATCCACATGTAGAAAAACAAAACAAAGAACTGAATCCAAGTATGCTATAAATAACCTAACCATGAATAAATAGCGTTCATAATAGTTATTTCATTCATATATTGACATTAAAAATTACAGCTTATTAGAGACAGTTAATAGCCAAGTCACAACAAACGGAACATGTTGAGCCAAAGCAGAAACAACCTGAAAAAATGAAGAGTATAATAGTGTTTTCTCAAATTTTCAAAACTGCCATATTTGCCGTCAGATTTCATTGTAGCCACAGACGTCCTTTGTTGAATAAGTCAGAGGGGTCAGAAATGCGACCATTTGAAGCCCTTAGAGGGATTTTGTTTAGACCCCGATTGCAATTTAAGAATAGCGCTAGTTTAGTCCACCATCACACGCCGTTGATGCAGATTTTTACCAATAAATTAAAATGAGTAATGCTAGGAAAAACATAAGCTAGTCACACTTAAACAAGTGTTTTGCTCCCAATTCAAAGACAGAGTCCTCAAACAAAGAGCGCGTCTTTAAAGAAACAACCCATATTCTGTTCTTTTTGCTGAGAAACTTTGTTTATTGCACATAGAAAACAATCAATCCCCCCCAAAAGATACCCTTCTCCTATGCAACAGTGTAAACCTAAAAAACCTCATTTTGATGTTACGGCATTACAAAAATAAACATTTGGTTCGTTTGCAAAACAAAATATTTGTTTATTGCTAACTTTTTGTCATCCGCCACTCCTTCGCTCTTTGGTCTGTGTGCGAGAAAATGTTAGCCCCACTGCAGTGGGGAGCACAATGCTGCATGTCACAACCTACTATGACCTTTAATTTAATTAATCGAAAATTTTATAACCCTAATCAAATCCAGATCTAGAAAAACTCTGATTGAAAAGGGCAAAAATAATAGAAATCTATTTACACCACTTTCTTAAGTTTATATTCTCAGCAGGAAGAACAGGATCTGGGTCTCTCTTTGAAAACCCTTTCAAAGTTTTGTAAAGTATAACAAAGGGCTACAACAAAGTCTGCCTTTGAGTTTGGGTAACAGCATGATTTCCATTTCCCATTAAAGTAAAATGAAATCAAAGAAAGGGAATTAAAACACAATCATTAGATGTGTTTAACAATGTTCTCTCATCTTAGATTATAACAATCTTTTCCTTAAGAAAAAGGTAAGGAGTGTTTACATATATCAACCACCTGTGCCGAATGGGCCAACGTGGTACTATTTTTGAGTTGTTGTAGTAAAAAAAATCTGTGGTGCAAAAGACTCTCCTCTAAACCCTCTGACTTCAACTTGGCAGAAACAAGATAAATAAATTAACCTGTTTTTTTTGTTTTGTTTTTTTTAAGAAAATCACCTATGTATCCAGTCTCCTGTAGACAGACTTTAGGTACTTGTCATACCCACAGAAAAAAAAAAAAGAAATCCTCTGTACACAGGAAAAACTATATAGAAATAAGTTAAAAAAAAAAAAATTAATTAAGTGTATTTCCCCTTAATTTGAGTAAGTGACTGAGATAGTTTGCCAATGGAATGAGTATTTTTTACTCTTAAAATAAGATAATTAGATAATATGAACTTGAAATAAGACAATGCAGTTGTGTTTTCTTATTTTAAGTTTAATGTGTCTTGTTCCATTGGAAAAATGTCTCTTTTACCACCTTAATTAAAGAACAAATGCACTTATTTGAAGAAAAAATTACTTATCTAGATTTCTACTTCTTCCAGTGATTCTACTCTATCAGTTTTGGAAAAATAATTGACTGAAGTTGGCGAATCAAATACAGAAGTTCAGACTCTGTATATCACAACACAAACTGTCAACAAAGCAGACAGCTGTAACAAAGATTACTAACAATATTAGCTCAAATAACAAATTCACAGTCAGATAAGACTTTTAAACATGCTTTAAGCAAGTAGGCCAAAAATTTACTTATAAAAACAACACAGACAGAAACATTACTGAGGCTAACTCAAACATCCAGCCCTGATTCTACCCTCATTTTCAACTTTATGAACTTTAAAGTAGGGGATAAAGAAGTACATTCGAAAATAATTTGATAAAAACAGAATGTCTTCATGAAAATGTCCACATCCCTGTACCAGTGTGGCTGAAAATCTTGTACATGAGGATTAACTCTCAGTTTGGTTTTCCTGTCAATGTCTTTCTAAGGCTTTTGATTTGTGCTTTTACATGCTAAACAGCTTTTACAGAGAAAAAACTCTGTTTTTAATAATGGTAACGTACAAGTGCCTTACTACCCCCTACTTTAATCCAACCCTTTAAGGACCCAGTTATTGTTATTAAACTATAAAATAATGCAAATGCTTTTGGAGTCCTCTTAGCGCATCTTTTTGCTCACTAAACCAAAGAAAACAGCAACTCTTGGTTTTACCTGTAACAGGGGTGCAATTGCCATGCTGTACCACTAGTTTATAATGCTATGAGTACTTTAATGATTTATCAAAAAGTGATGCAAAGCTTCTTATATAACCAAGAACACTTATTATTTAAGCTAAATATAACCAAAGCAGCATTTTGAAAACCGGGTATCACTAAAGAAATTCCTCAAATTTGTCTGCATTACGCTTCACCTGTTTAATCCTCTTATTAGCCAGTATTAAATTTTGGATTTATTTAAGTCAATAGACTATAACTGCACACCTTAGTATTTCGAAATGAACCCGATAAAGAGAACAAAAAGTGTAAAGGTTTTTTTTTTTTTTTAAAGAAATTAAATAAAGCTTATACAAAAAAATTTTTTTAAACAAACTAATACTTCAATACTGGACTTAAACATATAGGATTTAATTTTTTCTTTTGCTTTAAAATGATCTTGTTGGGGAATTAAAATATGTTAAGATGATTTCTGCATCTTGAAGTGAGCAAGAAAAGGTTAGGGAGTTGTAATCTGACAAAGCAGTAAAGGAGAAGAGCTGGGATGCTTTTTTTTTTTTTTTTAAGTTGGGGAATATCTGTATAAATATGCATGCTTCAAATGTGTACAAATTTACTGTGTAGATTTCAACAATTTGTGGATCATTTGAGAAAAATAAGCCTTTAGACTTTAGACAGATTTTATTTGTTATTTTGATTACACAAGTGTAAAACAAAAACAAATTTAGTTTGGAAACAGCTCATTGGACAATTTTATCTTTTTAAAAGTGCCGCCTTGAAAAATAGTAAAAATTAGTGTAAATTTACAGTTCTAACTTTGCAAATAATAAATAATTGCTCACTATTAACATTTCAATTTGAAAAAAGGATGTCATTATTATTTCATCAAGAAATTCTGCTTTAATTAAAAATGAAAAAAGAAAAAACGTAGTTGTTTTTTAACTCAACTGGCAGGAAGTGGGTTTTACAAAGACGGAGATTGGATTTTGGACACCAAATATTAGCTTAGTATATCTGTATTTGGATACTTTAGTAAAAGAGTTTTTATTCAACTAATCTGTAGTGATGGTCATATGTTAAACTTGCACTGAAGGCTGCATCTGTTGTAGCTTTTATATAAATTCAGCCAAACTGTGTAACTATTAATACTTACACAGTCCTAGGCAGTTCAACTGTAAAAAGGCTGTTTTTTTTTTTTTTTTAAATACTGATAGCTAAATTATTAGCTTAATCATTAATGTACAAATTGAAATCATACCCATACAAAACATGCAATTCACAATCATGACATAGCCTTTGAATTGAGTAAAGGTGCATGTTATCTCTGCTTGACTTGGCACAGCGTGGAGTTTTAAAGTTTAACAGCCCCTGCTAGGGATAAATGCCCCATTTTTGGGTCCTTAATGAGTTAGTATTTTTTGTTTTCTTTGAATTGAAGTATGTAATATTAAACATTGTAAAGCTAGGGAAAAAATGTGTTTAGTGGCACAGTAAAAGCTTTACAGTATATTTGGGAAATAATGCGACAACAAAACAAGAAAAGGAAAACTTAAAAAAGTTATCTGCAGTACTTACCGGAAGAACCTCTACGAGAAATGTTTACATCTGTGAAATCTTTAGCTGATATTCAGGCTACCAGTGTCTTTCGCTTAGAATTATGCACTTTTTCGCAACCGAACAAAACACGTGGTTTTCAAGCGCACCACTATACTTCACATTTTGCATTCAACCCATCTGTGCCAACAAGTGGTCCCTTGTACAATACACCGCACTGCGACTGGGGCCGGTAACGCTACAAGCCACCATGTCCCGCTACCTCTGGGAAAGGGAGGGGAGCTGAGGGGGAGGGAGGCAAGCGTCCCAATAACCACCAGTGCATGTAGGGCCCGTTGGACACTGAAAGGGTACCCTGCATTACAGGAAGCTATGGTGTGCAGTCAAAGTGCAACAAAGGAGGGGCAGGATAACAACCTGTTGGTAGCCATGAAATAGGAAGTCTGTGCCAGATCCTTGCTTGCTGTAGAGGGGAGACAAAAAGGAAACAGACAGATAATAAAAGTTAAAAAAAATCTTTGCAGACAAAACAGATTAAACTTTGTTTACTATTATTGCAATTTCCAGTGCACATATTGAGCCAAGATCCAGACTGTAAATGTATATAATAAATATGGCCAAAGTCATTAAGTATAGAAAATCTAACAATTTCTTTTTAAGCCAAAGCAATGCATCATCTTAGCTAAGTCTATACCCCTGCTGTGAACATACGCGGACTGTATCATTGTAATTGAAATAAAGGGCAATTGGATTATAATTTTGTGATCTAAAATGGGTTGGAAAATACCAATCAGACTACCTGTGGTCAGACTGAGAAGGGTGACTTATGTGGATTAAGAATTCGACCAGCAATGCATGTAAATGTCTGACTGGATCAAGCTTTTCTGAATGAGAAACATCAACATGATATATTTACACCTAAACGGGCTATTTTTTTGGTCCAATTGACAGTTTTACTCCGATTTCTTATGTACACGTAAAAAGCACAATCATGTTTTTTTTTTCTTCAACTGAATACATTTCCATCTAATAAAGGATAACTATAAAGTGGGGAAGATTGTGGAAGTAAAAAAACAGGTAAAAACAAAAATAGCTTAAGATTTGATGTTACTAAGACTGAATAATAAATGTAATAAAATTGTGAAAAGAGATTTGATAGTTACTAAATGCTGAGCATAATGGTAAAGAAACATGACATGCTGTGAGGCTTCGTCATTTTTTCCCCCCACACATGTGAGAAATTCAGACATAAATTGTCCGCACTTTTATACCAGTTAAGGATAGTTGGTGAAGCTCAAAGTAATCTTAGGATGTACTTAGTTTTTGACTAAGCTTCTAGTTTTCTGGTTTAATTAATCTTGGCTAAATAATTACTGTGTAGAATGTCATTTACTTTCATATCACTTAAGCACTGTTTTTTAAAAAAAGTTATAAATCTCAATAAACTCCCTTTTTATTCATCCTGATTTAAGATAAAATGAAGAAACTGAACAAACTTCTAGCGTTTTAAAAGCACTTCAGTCTAAGCCTCGGCCCAAACGGCACTGGAAAACTTAGTAAGGTAAATTTATCAGACAACAAACTCAGGTGCTTAAAACCAATGCAGTCATTTAACCATTAAATCAGTGGGAATATCACCCTCAACCCCACCCACATCTGAGGTGGGACAAACAAAAACAAAGAAGGAAGCCTCTACCTCGCACTAGCTGGGTACATTTCACCACATCAGTGTGTGGGTGATCAATAGTAATTTCAAAGCCTGGAACAAAATACATAACAGGTGAGATCAACACATACACAGCTGGGAGGTGACATGTCATTTAATGGTAGGGGAAGATATGAAAGTCTGTTTCATGAGCAGCAATCTAAGGTCATCTTAGGTTTTAAAAATAGTGTGAAATGTTTCCACTAATAAAAAGTTGTAAGCGCCTAAACAATTCGCATTGGATGACTAAATGTTTTAGCAGATATAGCTGAAAAACTTCCACATACTCAGGACCATTTAGTGCAATTTCTTTGCAGCCTCAATTATTTTTACTAAAGTTGGCTTCCAGAAAATGACATATCACCTTTACACAATGCTATTAAATATGACTATTGAAAGAGCTACCACAGAGTAGATGATATAACATTTCGTTTCAGTCAAATGTTTGACACACTGAAAAATTCACAATTTAGACCCTTACTTGTTACCTTTACCAAAGTTCATCATTGTTACAGAAAAAGATCTCAAATCATCCACTCCAGTCACCATTACTTACCCAGGGTCTGCAGCACAATGGATTCAAGTATCACCAGCTCTTGAGCTTGCTGGAGGTATGCCTGAAGTTTGATAGACAGTCATTACAACACAATTGTAATGAGTCTATTAATTTATTCCCCTAACAAGTAATTTAAAAACGGCCAAACAGCTCTACGGCTCCATTTAGTCATAAAGTGAGTGGTGTTTGGTACATGTCCACTGCAAGCCAGGGCAAGAAAAATAAGACCCATCAAAAGGGCGGCAGAAAGTGTCGCTTTCTTTTATATAACAGATGAAAGCAAGACCACAGAGAAAGACAGCAGGAGTCAAACAAATTCAACCTTACGGTAACACTAAATACCAACACTTACGTTACTTTTCGTGTCTAGAGGAGGTTCCTGTGGATTTAAGCAAGCATGTGCTACTTTGATTACATGCTCAAGCTTCCGGGGTTGCTCTTCAACTTTTGCAGCCAAAAACAAGGTGGTTGGAGATATTATCTGCAGAAAAAACAAAAATGTATTAAAATGAAGCTTACAGTTTCTACTTGACAAAAAAATAAAAAAATAAAATTCCACCATCTTGAAAAAATACTTACATTTCTATGGAATTTGGTGAAAGAATGTTGCATATAAAATCTATGCATGTAAACGATAGCTGTGTTTATTGTCAATTGAGAGCTGGAGATTAAGTCAAGGAAGATTTAATGTTTTTTAATCCATATAAATTAGGAACACAACAAAGAATGCAATATCAAAAAAAAAAAAAAACATTACAACATTATCCCGTGGTTAAAGTGTGTTATATTAATTACCAATATCAATTTAATTAATCAAGTTTTTCAACAGACTTTTCAGTTTACAATCAATGAGATCCTCTAACTGGGGCTTTTTACCCATCTTTACATTATGATGAAGTGTATAACTCAACCAACAAAATAAAATCCACTTTTGTTTTTTTACATTTAAACAAATTAAATAAACTTTTAACATGAGAACTTCCTCTTTTGCAGGAGAAATGCAATAATGTAATGCAATATGCAGTTGTATATAATAGTGCAGTTGGATGCATTCACGTTCTGTAGTATATCAGCCAGATGGAACGTTATTAGTGGTCTTTAAAGCCACTTCTGATGCAGAGTTTAGTCACTAGGAAGCTGAAGCTCAAGGCATTCTCACTATTATGTTCGCAAAGAACATGACAATTGTGGGAAATATGTGCCTAAAGATCCCATAATAATCACAGCTGCATAATTGCAGCCCCAATAGAAAAGGCTGTACAGTCTGTTGAGTAAGGTACCAATTAAGATCTGACTTTCCCATCTGTTAGAAACCTAAAGTTAATCCCATTACTATTTTTTAAAACTTTATGACAAGGAATTTAGATTGCATTTATAATACTTAAGCCAATATATTTTTTTATCAAGATAAATTAGGTCAATATATATTTTTTAATATATGCTTTTAGCTAGGGATGCACGATATAATGGGCCCCCTATCGGTATCG